AACAAAAATGAGATATCATCTCACACCACAGAGACTGGCCCACATCCAAAAGAACAAAAACAACCAGTGCTGGCGTGGATTAGGCCAGAAAGGGACCCTCCTTCACTGCTGGTGGGAATGCCGAATGGTTCAGCCCTTTTGGAAAACAGTATGGACAATTCTCAAAAAATTAGAAATTGAGCTCCAATTTGACCCAGCAATACCACTCCTGGGAATATATCCCAGAGAGGCAAAAAAGTATAGTCAAAGTGACATCTGCAATTGTTTGTTCATTGCAGCACTCTTTACAATAGCCAGAATCTGGAAAAAACCTGAGTGCCCGAGAACAGATGACTGGTTAAAGAAACTTTGGTACATCTACACAATGGAGTACTATTTAGCTGTTAGAAAAGATGAAGTCATGAAATTTACATACAAGTGGTACTATATGGAAAGTATTATGCAAAGCAAAATGAGTCAGAAAGAGACATAGAAAGATTGCATTCATCTTGGGAACATAAAGAAACAAAATAGAAGACTAACACCCCAGAATAGCCAAGATAAGTACCAGGAGGTTTACTCCATGCCTTGCAGGCCAGCCACACATGCTAGGGGAAAAGGCAGCTCAGATAGAGAAGGGAGCACCAAATAAAGGGTGTTGGGAGAATCCTCCCAGGATGGGAGAAGCATGCTGAAAGTAGACTATAGACCGAACATGATTGCCACTCAATGTCTCTTTTGAAAACCACATCACCTAAAAGGAGAGAGAGAACAAAAGAGAATGCCCTGCCACAGATGCAGGGTGGGACGGGGAAGGGATGGGGGGTGGGAGGGATACTCGGATCCGTGGTGGTGGAAAATGGGCATTGTGGAGGGATGGGTACTTGATCATTGTATAATTGAAACCCAAGCACAAAAATTTGTAAGTCTACAACTGTACCTCATGGTGTTTCACTAATAAAAATTTTAAAAAAAAAAGACTTTGATCCCCAAACAGGGCAAGGCCTACCCACTGCTGTGCCGATGCTCGGCTTACATCCCAATCTCATTTCCTGCCTGAGGGACAGCTGCCCTCAGGAACTTGCCTCTTTGCTGAGACTTGCACTTACTGAAGACTTCTGACCCTTTCCTTCCTCGATAAGCGAGTTGAAGTGCCTCGTGTAAACAACATTTCTCCTGACTGGGATTTTTAAAAAATTTTTTTAGTAATTTTTAATTTGATTAAAGAATTTAATTTACAAAGTTTTTGACATTGAGTTTTAGGCATATGATATTTCAACAGCAAACCCAGCACCAGTGTCAACTTGCCTCCACCTGTTCCATATTCTGTCCCCACCCGCCGTCCCCTCCTGTCATCCTGACAGGCACATTACAAAGGTCCAGTGGCTGCATCTTAGATCTCATGCTTTCCATGTTGTCCAGTCTGTGTTTTGGATCCATGGCTGTACCACTCACTCACCCATATCACCGATATAATTGAAGTCCTGACCCCTGTGCAACACTACTTCCTGTTCTCTTTTTTCCCCCTGATTTCTTTCCTTCTCTGTCCTTCTCCTCTGTAAACTCTGGGGCCAAGGGTGAGCTAGGCATCCCCCCTTTACTACAGTACATTTCCTCATCCAGGATTCTATACACCACAAATAAGCAAGAGCATCCTGTGTTTATCTTCACTTCACTCTGGCTCACTTTGCTCAACATGATACTGATGGACCGTTTTCAGTACTCCAGGAAAGATCAGGAATGGGTCTGAGATTAGCCCGGGGAAGCTAACGAGGGCTGGTTTCATGTTGGATTATAGTTCTAAACATTTTAGGTTTGACATTGATTTGTACTTTCTACCCCTGCAGGGAGCTTAAGTTTATTGAGTTACACCCATTACAGTGCTCTCAAGGAACTCCCATTCTTGTGTTTATCTTTAACTTCTCCTCTATGCTCTGCTTTTCTCTATCTGTTAATCACTATATTCCCAAATCAGACCCTGTAACCGGTAAGTCATTTCTCTGAGGACTCTGGATTTTGTATATGTAAGTGAAATATTGCTTTTCTCTTTCCTTTATGTTCTTTGCATAGTTTATGACCTTTAGAACAATGTCCTTTTTGTATAGACACAGGAAGACAGTAATGCTATGCTTTTGTAACTTTGAAGTTAATGGACTCAGAGTAATATTTACTCCTGGGCATCTGTCATGTTTACTTAACTTAAGCCTCAGTTGCCCTTAGCTCCTAGCACCCCAAAAGGAGGGACTTGGGCAGACCCTGGACAAGCTATAAGCTATCCTGGCATCAAAAAGGGACAGGATAAGTACCATAAAACATACAGTAAGTTAAGAGCACGGTCATGGAACAAACTCTGTCGTGATCCAGAAAGAAGTAACTGAATAAGGACCCTGCTGGGGTTAGGAAAGACTAACCTGTCTGAGGATTGTAGTCTGGGATATGATGTCCCCAAGAAGAGCCACACTTTAAGCTTAATGTATCTTAATTTATCTTAATATATATCTGTTAAAAATATCTCTGTCCATACAAAATGACTAGAAATATTATTAAGAAGTAAATTTAGGATCACTGTTTAAATGGATACGGGCTAAGGAAAGGAAAGTAATACACCCTTTGATGGAATTCCGCCCTTGGGTGGATCTCCAGGCAAAATGAGAATTTTATCCTTGAGTATCTCCTAGCACTTCCCCTGAAAAAAGGGCTTTATAACTGTTCATTGTGCAAACACACCTGTGTGTAATTGCTACCCCCAACCCTTCATGATTTCTCTGTAACTAATGCCGTGAGACTCCAGTAAACAGTGACTGATTACCAACCAGCCTGGCAGCCCCCGTTTCCTCCTTCATTGCCTGTCTGCAGTGGCCGGCTGGGGTGGGGAGGCAGCTCTTGGCCACCGAGCACACACGTTGCACTCCCACACTTTGAACTCACAGCTTCAGGCAGGTGTCTTGAGTGTTTGAAGGAACCTGAGGCTCAGAGCTCACCTAGAAGACTCTGGGACAAGCAGATCTGCCCCCTGTATTTCCTCCTCTCCCCCATTCACTCCTTCGACACCCCACCAGGATGTGGGGAGTTAGAACTGCGGGCAGAGGAGACTCGAAGTCACATGTGAGGTTGACATCTCTGTGGTCAAATGCCGTGTGATTTCAATCCCATCACATAGTGGTGGGGTGCAGAGTTCAGGGCATGGGGGCATGACACAGTGTAATCTTCAGAGACTCGTGTCTCCAACTGCTGCGTGTCACTTTAGGACTCAGGAGCCTGCCGTAGAGTGGAGACGAGTCCTGGTATTCCACAGCAGGCCACGCTTCCTCTTCGCAGGGAATGCGGGCCCTTCTTTCCATTAGACATCAGCAAAGAACGCACTCAGCACCCAACTCAAAGGTCATCTCCAGGAAGTCTTCCTGGAATGACCCCAGGCACAGTCCCACTTGCTCCTGAGTTTCTCTGAGATGACAGAGGGGCGAAGGGTCAGCTGCCAGGTTTTTAAGCCACACAACCTGGGTTTTGGGTTGGAGCAATAGCACAGTGGGTAAGGCATTTGTCTTGCACGCAGCCGACATGGCCGAGCTGGGTTCGATTTCTTCGCCCCTCTTGGAGAGCCCGGCAAGCTACCAAGAGTATCTCGTCCTCAAGGCAAAGTCTGGCAAGCTCCCTGTGACGTATTCAATATGCCAAAAACAGTAACAACAAGTCTCACAATTTGTTGTGAGATGTTACTGATGCCCGCTCGAGCAAATCGATAAACAATGGGAGGATAGTGCTATCTGGCTTTGGAAGCCTAGTCCTGCTCTTTTGTGACTCTGTGACCTTGACCTTAAGCAAGTCTTTTTCATTGCTGGGTCTCAGTTTCCCCACCTATAAAAGGAAGGCTAAAAAATGACAACTTCCAGATCAACTGCTGTTGTGAAAAGTAAATATTTCTAAGCGGAAGGGGGCTTCCCAAGCAGTGCTCAGAGGGGCTTGGGGGCCACTCTTGGTGACATTTGGCCAACCTGGCAGAATGGTTCCATTCCGGAGCCTGGTACGCCTGACAGAACTCCCTGGGCCCTAGAGCTGGGGAGGGATCCCTGTCCCACCGCACTAGGCATGACTCCCCAGATTCCCCACCTGGCTGAGATCAGCAGCAAGGGGGGCAGAGCATTGTGGAGATAGGGGTGGGGAAGCCCTGCCCACAGATGTCACAGAATGTCCCATCACAGAGCCGGGAAAGGGATCAGAGAATTCGGTCAGGGTGCAGTGTGACCCTTATGTCCAACTGGGTCCTTCAGGAATCCTGCCCGGAGGGGGTTGTGCTCTCACTTGAAGTGAGGTTGCTGCCCCGAACCCAGACTCAGCTATCCAGGGCCCAGGTTGGCCTGAGTCCCTGCGGCCCGGCATGGTTCTCTGAGAGAATGGAGAAGGCCCAGGGCTCTAGTCAGCTGGGGCTGGAGGAAAGAAACATGGGCCACCATGTTTCACCTGAAGAAAAGGCAGTGAGTCTCATCGATTCTCCCCCGCCCCCCCCCCCCCCCCCCCCACACACACACACACTGCAGACTAAGAACGTAATGCTTCCTTTCCCTGGTTACCTGGGAGCTAGTCGGGGCCACATGACATGTGGAAAACTTCGCCTTCCTTGTGAGAGCAATGGACATCGCTGACAAAATCCCTTTTTCTTCTTCCTTTTCCCAGCTTTGACCAGAAGTCTAAAGGGTGGAGCTAAGGCAGCCTTGTTGGCACCATGAGGAAAGGCTACATTAGAGTTGCAGGTCAGTATTGCCACAAGTCAGTGTCTTGCACTGTTCTCTGAGAAGTAAAGGCGAAAATGGCAGAGCCCCTGCCCTGGGGTCTTCTGTTGTTTGCACCCCTGATATAACAGGATGCCGTCCCCTTCACCCCAGGTAGGTAGAAGCTTAGAGATTGACTACACAAGAGAAGTCAGTCCTCTAAGCCCACCTCCCTCCCCCAAGCCCAAAGGGCAGTTTCCTTCTCTGAAGACCCCGTCCCCCCACACTCTCCGTATCTCAACTTCCGTGCACTGGTGAGGGTGAAGCAAACGTTTTATTAAAGCATGCAGAGTACAAGTTATCTCCATGGAGTCTGGTCGATAACATGGAGACTCAAGTCAGCACGGCCCAGTCAAACAATAACCCACATCTCGAGCCTCTCCTGGCTCCCCACTTCCACACTCACCTCCCGGCAAGTGTCGCTCATGCTGAGCTGCCCACAGAACCAGGCCCCTGGCCAGTGCTCCGTGTTGCCAGGCTGAACGGCACAGCTCAGTGGCACCTGGCACTGTAGACAGGGCACTTATTTCCAGCTTTGTTTGTTTGGTTGGCTGGTTTTGGAGTCACACTCGGCATTGCTCAGGGGTTATTCCTGGCTCTGCACTCAGGAATTACTCCTGGCATTGCTCAGGGGACCATATGAGGCTCGAACAAACCCTGGTCAGCTGCATGCATGGCAAATGGCCTATCTGCTATGCTATCTCTCCGGATCCTCGTTTGTAGCTTTTTTCTCTTCACAATCTCCTCTCCTGGACAACATCATCCCTTTGCAGAAAGCACCCCCCCACACACAACACACACACACACACACACACACACACACACACACACTGCTTCGGCTGCAATAAAACCTCACATATGCCCAAACATTGGGCTTGCCAAGATCCCCTTAGTCAACCCCCTTCCTGGCTATGGGTCTCTGAGTCTCTGTCTGCTGACCACCCACCTCTCTCTGTCTCTTGACCTTCCCACCACATCCATTTCCAGAACTTTCTCCAGTACAATGCTTCTCCAGATGATCCAAACAGGGCTTGATGAGATCAGCCCGTTTAGGGAGGAGCTTCTGCCTCTCTGGCTCAGCCTGCATTGCTGGCTACACACCTGGGCTGGGAGTGACCTAGAGGAAAGAGCTGCTTCTGTGTCCTTTCAGGAGGGGGTGGTCAGTGGAGTGGAGGGTCCACTGGTCTGGAGTCAGGGGTCCCTGTGCTCACTCCAGCTCGGACACCATCTTACTGCGTGTCTCTGGACAAACTGCTTGCCCTCTCTGAGCTTCCGCTTCCTGACATAGCAAAATGAAACTTCCTCACGAAGCTTCCTACTCGGGCAAAGGGATCAGACTCAATATCTGCCATGGCTGCTCCAGCTCTGGGGAGATGTGACATCCATAGAGACTTTCTGCAAAGTCTTGGATTGGCAAAGCACTTTGCATCAACGATTCCCTGTTCCTGGGAGGTGATTAGATGATTAGATTAGGCCCCAGGGCCCTGCTTCTCGGCAGGAAATGTGAGGCCCAGAGAAGGGACTGATGGCCCGGGAGCCCTCAACCCAGCTGCTGAGGCTGGAGGCCGGATCCCCAGCCCTGCAGGTCTAGGGTCAGTGTGAATTCTTCAGGAGGGACCGGAGGAATACAGGAAGCTGAGGAGTGCAAAGGCAGAACATGACAGCCTGGGGAGGCACTGTCCCAGCTACTCTGAGGAAGCCCTTTTTTGTACTAAGTCCTTTGGGGGGGGGGGGGGAACTCTTTTTTTTTTTTTCTTTTTGGGTCACACCCGGTGATGCACAGGGGTTACTCCTGGCTCTTCACTCAGGAATTACTCCTGGTGGTGCTCGGAAGACATATGGGATGCTGGGAATTGAACCCAGGTCGGCCGCGTGCAAGGCAAATGCCGTACCCACCGTGCTATCGCTCCAGCCCCCTTTGGGGGACTCTTGCTGGGACACGTGGGAAGGTGAATATGCCTTAAGTTCACTCAGCCCTGACTCTCCACTAGGCACCTCTCAAAGGGCTGAGGGGCCCAGTCCAGAGCAGAGGAAACTGACCCAGACCAAAGAGTAAATCTGAATTTGGGGATGAGCATGTTTGCGTGATCTGGGGGGCAGACGCTTCAAATTGTAAAACAGTGTTTTGTTCATCTGAATTCCCTTAACTGGACATTTCTGGACCATCAGCCGTGCTCCGGGCCCTGGTGTGGACTGGCGAGAGGGGACTGTGAAAGGCTGGGAAATACCGTGAGCCAGCTATCCAGCTTGAAGTCAACCCTAGCAGGTGAGCTCACATCTTTGAAACCCAGGGACTGCCACACAGCCTTCCTCCACCCCTCCTTCCATCCTCTTTGTGGAAGAAAAAGAAAGAAACATGTTTTCCTGCTGGTGAAACACGCACCAACACCCCACCCCGGGGCCAAAGGCTACCTGCATGGATCCCAGGATATTCCAGGAGGGTCAAAGGTCAAAACTGCAATAACGGGGAACCCAGGAGGGTTGGGGAAACATTGGGGTAGGAGCTTTCCGACTCTCTGTTCTGGGTCCCAACTCTGAGTCTGTGTCCTGTGCTAGCCCCTGCGGGGTCAGGAGAGGGACTGAGGGAACATATTAGAAGATGGACTCTTCCAGGGCTCTAGGAGCTAGGACGGTGCCAGCGGACTGCTAAAGCGGGGTGTTAAAACCTCAGGCTTTCAGAAGCGGGAGTTAGTGGGAAAAGCAAGGCTCCTGCGCCTACCCTATTCCTGTGCCCTCCCGCACAGGGATGGGGAGGCGCTGGGGCCTGCGCGTGGCCTCGCGGGTGCTGGCGGCTCAGGACCCCAGCTTCTTGCGGGCTACAATGAAGCTGATGCCCCCCGTGTTGGCCGCGCTGGCGGCCGTGTAGCTCTTGGGGCTGTACAGGAGCTGCTTGATCTCCAAGCCAGCGTCCAGGACGGCCTGCTCCACCGCCTCCTTCTTCAGGGCCACGCAGGAGAACTCCCGCTTCCCCACCATGTAGGACGAGAGCCCGAGCGTGACGGAGGTCACCAGGTGACCCCCGGGCTTGATCAGCGAGGCCAGGTTGGCGATCCCCGCGCGGTAGGCGTCCAGGCTGCAGCAGGCGCACTCCATGGCCAGCAGGGAGAGCACGCAGTCGGCCGGGGGCAGCACCACGGGGGCCAGCGGGTTGGCCAGGTTGGCATCACACTTGAGCACCCGCTTCACCACAGCCCGCACCTTCTTTGCTTTCTCTTGCCACCGGTCACTGCAGGCAGAGGGGAGGGTGCAGTGAGGGGGCGGGGGCAGTATAGGGGGCAGGGCTCAGGTAAGAGTGGGCGGGACCATCAAGAGGGCGGGGCCTGAACCGGAAGCGAGGGCGGGGCTGAGTGCAGGTGGGCGGGGCCCAGAAGGGAGGGCGGGGCTGAGTGCAGGAGGGCGGGGCCCAGAAGGGAGGGCGGGGCTGAGTACGGGGAGGGCAAGTGTCCATGAGGTGGACAAGGGAGGGAGGGAGGAAGGAAGATGCAAGAAGACAGGGTGGACAGGGGAAAGGCAGGGAAGGAGAGAGAGAAAGAAAGAGGAAAGAGAAAAAGTGGGAAGGTCGGAGGAAGAGAGGAAGGCAAAAGGGAGCGAGGAAGGAATCTGGAAGGTAGGAGGATGGAAGGGAGGAAGGGAGGGAAGAGGAAAAAAAGAAAGGAGGAAAAGGAGGAAGGAGGAAAGGGGGGGAGGAAGTAGAAAAAGGAGGGAAATCAGGAAGGAAAGGAGGGATGGGGAGGGAGGAAGAGGAGAAGGGGCAGAAGGGAAAGGAGGAGGCTGGCCTTCCATCTGGTCTTTGGTCTCCGTGTGGGAAGCTGCCCCGTGGCCCCACCTGCAGCCCCACCCAGAGCAGCAGCTGCATCCCTCAGCAGGCCATCCTGGAAGTGCCAGAGCCCCCAAGCGGGGGCTGGGGGCCAGCCCAGCCCTACCTGTTGCCCTCCAGCTCACAGGCGAGCTTCAGCGCCGGGGTCCAGTCGTAGGCCCCCGGCTCCTCCTTCAGCCACTTCTGCAGCTCTTCCCGGTTGCGGTCGGTGAAGTCGGACATAGTGATGTCCCCGAAGACCTCGCAGGCAGCCAGCAGTTGGTAGATAGTGGGGCCGGAGCCGATGTCGATCAGCGTGTCCCCGTGGAGGCCCCCTGCAGGAACAGGGGGTGATGGTCAGGGACCCAGGGAGCAGCCCCGGCCAGCACTATGACCCAACCGGCCCAAACAGGTGGAAGCATCTCAGCACCAGCGGTTCCCTTTGCCCATCTCAGAACAACCCTGCGCAGTGCCCACCACACTTGCTTCCATTCCAGAGAGGAAAAACGGAGTCTGAGAAAGGCCAGAGCACTAGCCCAGAGCAGATGCACTGGGGGCGCGGCTGGCCGGGAGCCCTCTGAGGTCCAGCCCTGCCTGGAGGTTCCTCGGGAACAGGAAAGCAGCCCTGAGCAGGATGTGGGGACCGGAGCCCGGGGTGAGCCAAGGGTCGTCCGGAGAACAGAAGAAGCCTCCAGCACTGATCCCAGGGCCTGGGCACGGGGCCATCCCCTTCCCCCAGGGTCACCCCAGTCTGGGCCAACCCAATTCCTGTCCCACACCCCCCCCCCCCACCAAGCAGCCTCTTTTAACCCCTCCTGTCCACCCACTCACGAGGTTCATTTTCACTGGGCTGGGGGAAGGGCACGGTCACTGCAGCCATGGCCAGGGGCACCCAGCCCCAGGCTTTGATTCCAAACCCAGCCAGGTGCCCGAGGCCCTGGGAAACTGCACTCACTCCAAGTCTGGGACAACCCCCCCAACCCCCCCCCCCCCCACACACACACCCAGGCTCTGCGTTCCTCGAGGTTGTCCCAGACCCTCAGCATTGCCCCATCTGGGATAAACGCTGTAGGTTGGAAGACCTGACGCCAACCCCAAGTTCCGGCAGCACAGACCCCCACCCCCCACATCAAAGCCCCTGGAGAAGGGGATCCAGTCCCAGCAGCTCCCCACCTCGTCTCTGACCCAGGCAGTCCCCGAGAGAGAAGAAAGACCGCCCCACTGCATCGCAGCATCTCAGCCCCACTGCCCCGTCCAGGGTCTCCGTGCTCACCCGGGCGGAAGGTCTTGTGGAGACACTCCAGGTTGAACTTGAGCATCTCCACCTCAGGCGAGGGACCCGCCTCGAAGCGGTAGTAAGTGTGCAGGTAGTCCCTGGGCTGGAAGTGCTTCTGGTACTCGTCTCCGCCTGTGAAGCCCTCCATGGTGACCCTCAGTGCACACTTGCTCGCCTGCTGGGTCTTATGAGGCTCTGGGTACTACAGGCTCCACCCCGCGAATTCCAGCCCGGCCCTGGCTCCTCCCCAACCTGGTCCGCCCCCACGCAGGGGGAGAGGACAGGGGGCCTGGGAGGTGGCAGACAGAGTCCTGTGGAGCTCAGCCCCCCTCCCCCCACCTAGGTCCTCTCCACACAGAGCTGGGTCTATGGGGGAGAGGGGCTGGAGGAGAGGGCAGTGGCATGGAGGCCAGTCCCAGGTCCCCTTCTCTACCCAGCCAAAGGGGTTCCATCTGCATGCCCACTTCACGGCTTGTGGGGCCAGAATCACTCCCTTAAGCAGAGGTGCATTTGGGGTTGTTGTTTTGTTTTGGCCATTTTTGTTGTTGTTGTTTTGTTTTGTTTTTGTTTGTTTGTTTGGGGGCAACAACTGGTGATGTTCAAAGGTTACTCCTGGCACTGCGCTCAGAGAATTACTCCTGGTGAACTTAGAGGACCCTATGGGATGGCGGAGGATTGAACCCCAATCGGTCACATGGGAGGCAAGTGTACTTGCATGTGACCAACTGTACTCTCAAGTCCCGATGGTGGGCTTTTCTTTTTGGGTTTTTGGTTTTGCTTTTTGGGCGGAGGGACACCTGGTGGCCTTCAGCGCTAGGGACGGATCTCTGGCCTCATGTGAAGTTGGCTCCCACGTCTTAGCTTCTTACCCTGCAGGTCACAACTCCACATGGGGTGATATGACTCTCGAAGAAAATCATCTTAAGGAGGGGGGCAAGCAAGAAAAGATGGTCTGGAGGTAGCAGAGGGGCAAGGGTCAGGCGTCATGGCCTTCACTGGGATGTAGAGGTGAGGGATCTGCCCGGTCCTAAAGCACTAGAGCCAGCACTACTGGAAGCACAGGACTCAGCCTCTGCTTTCATCACCAACCTGAAACGTGTCTGTCAGGGGTCCAGCGAAGTACCACAATAGCACGCTTGCCAGGAGTGATCCTGGGGCACAGAGCCCTAAGCACAGCCGGGTGTGGCCCCCTAATAAAATCAAGCCAAAAAGTATCTGTTAAGGAGACAGATTAGGGGATGAGAGGGAAGCTGGTGGGGGTCATTGGTGGGGGCAGGGGGCGGTCAGGGGTTAGTAGGATTGGGGCTGGCACGTTACATGCCAGGGACTCTAGAATCAGTGACTTTATAAATCATAGTGCATGACATTTCCAAAATATGATTTCAAATAAACTTTATGACTGAATTGTATTGTATGACTGAAACTCAATCCTGAACCACTTCACAACTGTGTATCTCACAGTGATTCAATAAAAAAATAAAGTAAAAAATATGAATTAGTCCCCCCAAAATCTTAAACAAACTTTATAATTTTTCTATCAGTGGGCTGGAGCGATAGCACAGCTGGCAGGGCATTTGCCTTGCACGCAGCTGACCTGGGTTCAATTCCTCTGCCCCTCTCGGAGAGCCCGGCAAGCTACTGAGAGTATCACGCCTGCACGACAAAGCCTGGCAAGCTCCCCATGACGTATTTGATATACCAAAAACAGTAACAACAAGTCTCATGATTTGTTGTGAGACATTACTGGTGCCCGCTCAAGCAAATCGATGAACAACAGGAGGACAGTGCAATTTTCTATCAGTAAATATCTGCTTTCTAGACCCATTATATACCCAGGCTCGTGTACAAATGTCTCAGAAGAGTGTTTTCTGTGGGAAAAGTTTAAGAAGCCTGGACTGGACGGCAGATCATGGGAGGCCAGTCGTGCCCTGGAGGGGGTGTGGAACAGGATAGCTGCCCCCAAAGGGAGAGTGGAACCATCACAAAGCACAAACCATCTGTATGCGGGAGGCTTCCCCGACTGAGCCAGCGCCTCAGCATTCCTCTCTGAGAAATGGGGGTGAGAGCCAGAACTCCCACAGGAGCTGCTCGGCCCCTCCTTCCTGGCACCGAAAACAGCTCAGACTTGGCCCCAGACCAGACAGAAATGAATCTGCGAACGGGAGGTCCAGGCCTCCTGCCCTGGAAGTGGAAAGTACAAGTACATCTTGTTCTGATTTGAAGCAAATAAACAACCCTGACCTGAAGGGCCGGGCAGAGGAGGCCTCCTCAGAGGCAGGGCCCCCTTCACCCCGACTTTCATGCAGGGGCTGTTTTTTTCCCAGGGCAGGCACTGGGCAGCCTGGGGGGTGAGGGCCATAGAGCTGGGCTGGAGGAGCCCTGGGCACCGTGTTATTTGGCTGGAGAAGCATTTACTAAAGGGATGACATTTACCAAGGAGCTAGCCATGGGCTTCTCTAGAGAAACAGAGATGTGTGCATTAGGTCGACAGGCAGATTAAGATAGCCTGTGAAGAAGCAGACACACAGGCAGAGAGAGACCTAAGGAACTGACTGCGGGGCCCTACCACGATGGAGGCCAGAAGGCCAGAATCCTGCGTGGTAGACCAGTAGTCTGGATGGAGACTCAGGAAGAAGGCATGATGCAGTGTGCATCTGAAAGCTGTCAACTGGAGAACCAAGAAAGGGCTGGTTCAAGAGTTCGGTTAAAGTCCTTCTAAAATTTCTCTTATCCTGAAAAGGTTGTTGCTCTGTGCTGTTCGGCCTTGCAGCTGCTTGGGTAAGGCCCACCACATTATGGTGACAGCCCACTGGTTTAACACTTCTTTTCTTTTTTTTTGAGGGGGGGTCATACCCAGTGATGCTCAGGATTTTTTTTTTAATGTAGGAGTACTGCTATTAATTCAGCCACTGATTAGCTGATTGAATTGGGCATGAACTCCACCATTGCACAGGATTTATACTCAGGAATTACTCCTGATGGTGCAAACACCCTACCCACTGCACTGTAGCTCCAGCATTTTTTGGTTAGTTTGTTTGTTTGTTTGTTTTTACTTTTTGGGTCATACACAGTAATGCACAGGGGTTTCTCCTGGCTCTGCTCTCAGGAATTACTCCTGGCAGCCTCAGGGGACCATATGGGATGCTGGGAATCGAACCCGGGTTGACTGCGTGAGGCAAATGCCCTACCCGCTCTGTCAGCCTGAGGCACAAGAGATGCGAGCTGCACTTCTCGAACCAGCCTTTCCCTCAAGCCAGGGGAGGGTTCAGAAGCCTGCGGTGTTTTAAGCATCTTTCTCAATTGGGACTTGTAAATAGCACAAGGAAATTTCCATTCAAGGGAACGTGGGCCTTAGTTTCAAGCCAAAGAGCACATTTGAAACGACATATCAAGGAAATCAGACGCCTTGAGAGGCATCCAGCTCCTCGCTTGTGGAGGACTCCTCCCCACATCCCCAACACCCCCTGCCAGCCCCTCTTATCACTCCTCCTGCCTGCATGACCCTGGGGTGAATAGTCCAGCGTTTGCATGTGTAAACAAGATTCTTCTCTGGTGAGTTAGAAGCAGCCACGCAGTGTCGCAGTGTCTCGTTTCACACCAGATTCCAAAACGAAGGCCAAGAGTGGAGGCGGGCAATATGACACGGATCTAGAATTTTCGGGCGCAGAACAATCTTTGAAGCTCAGAGGGAAAACCAAGTGAATGAATAAAAGCATTTTATAAAACGAAACACAAATTAAACACTTCTAGGTCCTTCAATACTAAAGGGCAAAAATAGCAGTTCCCTTTAGCCAATTCGGCGAGCATTTGCCTAAATTATTTAGATGGAATTATTAACACTAAAGCCCAATAATCCCATGCTTAGGAGTCTAGCCTAAAGCCAGAATGCAAGACATAAAAACGTTTTGTGTGCAAGGACACTTAGCACAGCATCCTGAGAAATGACCACCCGAGGGTGGTTGCACACAGCTGATCCAGGGTTTTTTTCCCCCCCCTGTTTAAAGCCTTGTTATACTCCATGTCTATGTTTTATTAAAATGTTTTATTCTTGAGGAAATAACTATTTTTTAAAAATACCCAAAGTCCAGTTAAGTAGAGGATACTCTTTTTTAATTTTTTTATTTTATAAGTTAGTTCACAATATTTGATTACATTTAATATTCAAACACCAATCCCACCACCATTACACCTTCCCACCACCAAATTCGAGATGCTTCCATCCCAAACCCAACCAAAACACAACTGAAAGAATATATTTTGTATTGTCTGTTTTGAAGAACTGCTGAACATGCTTACAAAAAAAGTGTTCATAAAGGAAACAGTGTGAAGACTGTTTTATTTTGGAAGGAGCCATTAAGACATTCTATAGGATATAACTAACATGTTGTTAAAGTTTGTGGGTTTGATCCCCAGCACTGAGCATCATCAGGGGTCACCCCTAGGTACCAAACCAAGAATAACACCCGAGAACTGCCTGGTGTGCCCCCTCCCCCAGAACATACCAACCCTGGAACAATGAAAACAGCCTGTGAGGTCACTCATTATTCCAATCCTTCTAGGATGTCTGTTTAATGAGCTTCTACTACCCCCTGTTTCCCTTTGCTGGTGTCCAGAGGTCACACACACTTGGTCGGGGTGCTTCCTGTGGGCAGAGAGCGGGAAGGAAGGGGTCACACACCGGCGAGGGGTCCAGGACCCCATGTGGTGCCAGGATCCACACTTGCCTTAACGTCTTCAAGACTGACAACACTCTAGCCACGCCACACCCGGGCCCCGACAACAGAATTTTCGTATGAAATCCTTTTCTTTTTTTTTTTAACGTTTCAAATTTATTTATTTATTTTATTAGTGACGCCTTCAGGGTCAGGGAAATGAGACCCATTGTAATTACTGGTTTTGGCATATCGAATACACAACAGATAGCTTGCGAGGCTCTGCCGTGCGGGTGGAATACTCTCCGTAGCTTGCCAGGCTCTCCGAGAGGGATAGAGGCTTTTGGGGAGGCCTCTAATCGCCCTTGTAGGTGTTCCCATGGTTCAGACCATATTTGGACCCTATCAAATATGGTACGGCAATTCTGGAAGATGGGTATTAAGTGTCTTATAATGTGTTGTGCAGCCGCAAAGTCGGACTGCAGCTGAATCTTACGAAGACAATGTTTATGAGAAACAGCCTCGTTCCTGACACTCCATTCGCTCTCAATGGAACGACCATCTCCGTTGACCATGCAACAGTTATGTGTACCTAGGTCGAGAAGTCAACATGATGAATGACCTGGCACCTGAGTTGCACAGGAGGAAGAGAGCAGCTTGGAATGCCTTCAAGAGCGTCGAAGAAATAGCTAAAAGGACGAAGAACCTCCGACTCTGGGCACATCTCTTTGATTCCACTGTTCTTCCTGCATTAACATACGCCTCAGAGACCTGGGCCCTACGCAAACAGCATGAGAACACTATTTGGTTCTCCCAAAGAGGAATTGAAAGAGCTATGCTTGGAATATCACGTTTCACTCAAATGAGAGAAAGAATCCGGAGTTCTGACCTCCGTGGACGATCAAGAATCAGGGATGCTGTCTCTTTTGCCAAGGCGTCAAAAATCAGATGGGCTGGTCACGTAATGAGATTTAGAGACGACCACTGGATTAGATTTGCTCGAGCGGGCCCAGTAACGTCTCCATTGGAGATTTTGTTGTTACTGTGTTTGGCATATTGAATACATCACAGGTGGCTTGCCAGGCTCTGCCGTGCGGGCGAGATACTCTCGGTAGCTTGCCGGGCTCTCTGAGAGGGGCGGAGGAATCGAACTCGGGTCAGCCATGTTGGCCACGTGCAAGGCAAACGCCCTACCCGCTGTGCTATCGCTCCAGCATGTGCTATCGCTCCAACATGGCTGACCCAAGTTCGATTCCTCCGCCCCTCTCAGAGAGCCCGGCAAGCTACCGAGAGTATTCGATATGCCAGACACAGTAACAACAAAGTCTCCAATGGAGACCTTACTGGGCCCGCTCGAGCAAATCGACGATCAACGGGAGGGCCTTTTTACTGGATTAGAGCCGTTACCGACTGGATTCCACGGGACGTCAAGAGACCGCGTGGCTGCCCACCTACCAGATGGTCAGACTTCTTCATCAAGACCATGAACGATTGGTTTGAGGCTCTTCGTGTTCCTAGAAAGAACAGACACCATTGGGCTACACCAGCATGCAACAGGGACAAATGGAGACGTTACTGGCGCCCGCTCGAGCAAATCGACGATTAAAGGGAAGTCAAGTGATCAAGTGATTTTATTAGTGAATCACCGTGAGTTACAAACTTGAAATCCTTTTCTAACAGACGACCTAGAGGTCGAAGATAATTTCCTCTCGGCTGGATAATCCACCCAGCTGCCCTCACCCTGCACTGGATAATGCACCCATTTCTGACTGAACTGAAATGTCACAGAGCTCAGGTTTGATTCACTTCTCAAAGAGGAAATTGACCGTATCACAAGAGAATGAAAATATCACCCGAACCTGACAGTTGGGCCGTCTTGGGTGGTGGGAAGAAGGGGTTTCATCGCTCCACGTGGGAAGGCCTTTGGATCACTGGGATGCTGCAGGACATGCAGGATGTTAGAGCCAGAATCTCCCCTGCCTGGGTCCCGCGCCCAGGGCAGAACACAGCCCGGGGGGCTGCGTGGTCTGTGCAGGGTCAGGCGGCCGGGTCTGCACCAGGGTTTGAGCAAACACTTTCCTGACCACCCTGGGCAACAGGCACACTGGCTTTCAGCTCCCCTCCTTCAGAGTGGCATGAATTATCTCTTTGTGGACGGGGACAGAAGTCAGGGAACGGGGTAGAGAGGGTTACACAGCTCCCTCAGCCTCTACAGCCAGACGCCCCCACAGTCCCACTCTGGCCTGGTTGCAGAGCACATGCTGTAGCATCTGAGCTCTCTGCTCTTAGGGGAATTCTGGAAAAAAGACTGATTTGGCAACACTTAACTTTTTAATTGAAAACATGATTTTGAGGGGCAGGAGAGATAGCTCAGTGGGTAGGAAACTTGCCTTGCACACGGCCGACCCTGGTTTGATCCCTGGCACCCCATGGGGTCCCCTGTGCAACCCCAGGAGTGATTCCTGAATGCCGAGCCAGAAATAACCTGTGAACGTTGCTGGGTGTGCCCAAAATCCAGCCAAACTTGATTTTGAGTTCATTGAAGATTTACAAGCATTTGTGAAAAATAATCGTCAAGGCTGGAGTGATAGTCCAGTGGGTAAGGCCTCTGCCTTGCATGCGGCCAGCCCAGGTTTGATCTCCGGCCTCTGATATGGTCTCCTGAGCGCCACCAGTAGTGATTTTTGAGTAGAGAGACAGGAGTAACCCCTGACCATTTCCGGGTGTGGCCCCAAACTCCAAACAAAACAAAAACAAAAACAAAAACAAAACAAAACAAAATAATAGTCAATTCATAGACCCTGAACCCAAATCACCCAGTGAAAGAAATTCCGTCTTTCAAAACAATAGGCAGGTGACGTGTGTGTGTGTGTGTGTGTGTGTGCAAGCATGTGTGTGCATGTGCCCGCATGTATGTGAGTTCACGCAGTCCCACCACATGCTCTTATCAATAGTTTGCTTAGCTTGCCCTACGCAGAGTGTCGGGGTTTATTAAGTTAATGGGAGAGTCAATGGGGAGAGTAAACAGGATTAAAGGCGGGGATGTTTAGGCAAGTTCGGGACAGGCTGTTTCCAAGAGTTCACTGCCCTCACTCAGTAATCTCAGCCGACCCCATCCGGTTTCCACACCGTAGGGCTCTTTCCACTCTGCTTCTCCCCTGAACCCCTAAAGGGAAGCCCGCTTGTGAAAGCCTGTCTGCCCAGTTCTGTGTCCCCCCCACCCGTTTCTTGCTCCCTGATCTGGCCCCCAGCAGTGCCTACAACGCTCAAAACACCTCCCAGGGTCTGGAGAGGGGAGACGTGTGTTGTTGACCCCATAACCTTCCCTTATGGGCCCCGATGACTATCAGCCAGATGGGCTTGGCTGGAGGCCAGGGGAGCTGAGCCGGGGCCCTGTGTGGGGTGAGGCGGGGAGGGAGGGCCCAGGCCCAGCTGTTATGTAACTGCTGGCAGGAAGGGTCCGGGAGAGCAGGACTAGGGCTGAGAGAGTCTGCCGAGCTGTCTCGGGCGTCTCAGCCAGAATGGAGGAGAAGCTGTATGCAGGCGGGGAGGATTATACCAAAGAGTTCGACCCCCAGGACTACTTACGCACGTACTATGCCTTCGACTCTGGCACCATGGCCGAAAACGAAATCCTCAAATTTAACCTGGAAAACCTTTTCCAGACCTTCTCTGCAGGTGAGTGGCAGGTCTCTGTCTCTAGGGGAGGGGGACGGGGCTTCAGGGACAGCATGAGCTTCTGGGAGGTGGCTGGGTTCAGTCCCCTGGGCCTGGGATCCCCAAGGATGCTGCCACGGCAACCGGACCTGTAGCCCACGCGGGTGTCCAGTAGAGGGCAGTGCAGTGAGGCCGGATCTCTGCGTGGAAGCCAAGCTTGAGCTTGTGTCTAGGAGAGCCTGTCTCAGTTTCTCTTCTGTAAAATGGACGGTCACTCCCAAATTGTAGGGCTCACAGGCTTGTGCTGAGGTCGAGGTAGGGGGCGATGAGAGGACAGACCTGCTACCCCCAGAGTGGTCTTCAAGTCACCCTTTGAAGCTGTTTTGGGCTCATCAACCACTGAGAATCTGAGGAAAAGTTCTTGTACGTACACACACACACACACACACACACACACACACACACACACACACACACAAACACACTTTCTTGCACAAGAGAGTGTTCACAAATACCAAAACCAAATGACAGCTCAGTTTACAAATCCCTGGCGGAGGGCAGGAGAACTGGAGAAACCAGCAGAAACGCCTGGTCACATTCTCTGCACCCAGGAGGGGAGGTTGTGCAGGAGAGAGGGGGGAACCCGCACAGAGCCAGCCCCATCTGCCCCGACCACCAAGTACTGTTGGACAGGGAGGGCACTGCACCACCCTCTCCCAACCCAGCAAGGCGCATCATAGGAAGTCCCGGATGCAGGTACAGAGTGGATGCTCACAGAGCTCTCTGAGCACAGACCTGGGCCAAGGCCGTGAAGCCTGGACACAAAAGTCACAGTGGGGACAGAGCAGGAGGAGAGAGAGGACGGTGCCCCTCTCCTTCACTGAGGCAGATCCATTTGCGGAATGGTAATCTCCTGCCCTCACCCAGCAGCGCTCAGGGCTTACTGCTCTGTGCTCAGGGGTCTCTCCTGGCAGTGCTCAGGGCTCACTCCTGGCTCTGTGCTCAGGACTCACTCCTGGCTCTGTGCTCAGGTCTCACTCCTGGCTCTGTGCTCAGCTGTCTCTCCTAGCTCTGTGCTCAGAGGTCACTTCTGGCTCTGTGCTCAGGGATCACTCCTGACTCTGTGCTCAGGGTTTACTCCTGGCTCTGTGCTCAGGGATCTCTCCTGGCAGTGCTTGGGGGGGCCATATGCGGCAACAGGAATTGAAGCTGGCAGCGTGCAAGCTCCTTCCCCATTGTACTGCCTGCCGGGGCCCCTGCAACTGGCTACCCCCCTACCCCCACTCATCTCCTGCCCCCCAACCTTCTCTGCTGTGTGGAGCCACGTCCCACCCCCTTGCTCAAGTGTGGGCCCTCTCCCGAGGCTCAGCCTTCGCTAATCCCGACACTGGATCCCAAGCCGTACCACCGCAAAGAAACCACTTCCCGCTGCAAAGGCAGCCTGCAGCCTGCCCAGCCATGTAGACTGGAGTCCCGCAGGCGGGCACTTAGCGCAGCAAGGGGAGGGGGTGTGTGGCTGCACCTGCCTCCAGCTGCCTGTGCACACCCCATGCCCTGAGCAGGCTCCCCACTGGGCCTGAGGGCGCCCCAAAGGCCAGATCGGGACTCCTGCGACTCATCATCCAAAGGGCAGGTGGGGGTGAGGGCTGTTCGGCCCTACACAGCGGGGCACGCAGCTGGGGCTGTCCCCTCAGGGCCCTGTCCATGCCATTCCCTGCAGGGGACATCACGGGCGACCTCCTCATCGACATCGGCACGGGCCCAACCATCTACCAGCTGCTGTTGGCCTGCGAGGCCTTCCGGGAGATCATCGTCTCGGACTACACGGAGCAGAACCTCCAGGAGCTGCGCAAGTGGCTGGGTCAGGAGCCGGGTGCCTACGACTGGTCCCCCGCCGTGCAGTACGTGTGCGAGCTGGAGGGAGACAGGTACCGGCCGACCCAGCCCTGCTCTCCCGCGCTCTCCACCCTGCCCTGCGCAGATGCCTCAGCCAGCACTGCTCTCCCTTGCCACCAGTCCCACCCCTCCCCTTTGGCTGCCCAGCTCTCTCTCCCACACAGCCCTGCTCTGCTCTCTGGGCTTTGTGTCCTGTCCCCACCTCGCCCCTTCCTGTAGTCCTGCTTCCTCCTAGAAGCTCCTCTGGATTGCTCCAGCCCACACAGAGCTCACTGTTCTCTTAATACTACAGTTCCAGCTTCTCTTCTCTTCTGGTCTTAGAGGAGCACTTGCTAAGGGCTCCAGGGACGCCCCCACCTTAAGCACTGGTGCCCCCAAGCTGCAGGATTCCTCCAGGGTACCCTCTCTTGCTAGCACACAGAGAGCCAAGGCATGTGCGAGATGCCCAGAGGCAGACATCTACACAGATTCTGCACCTAATTCCACAGCTGAGGAAACTGAGGTCAGGCCCCGAGAGCGACTGACCGGGACCACCTTACAGCCAGGGCCATGACCAGAGCTTAAGATTCTGCCCCAACCTGGGGCCAGGGGTCCCGAGCAGAGTCAGGCTGGCGTGGGGCAGGGCTGGAGGCTCTTCAGACATGGGGTCCTCCAGCCTGCCCTTGTCCAGTAGCACAAACCGCGGTCCGGGTTCCCCTCTAGAACTGAGGAGTCTGGTTCTGCCCAATCTCGGCGCCCAGAGCTGACTCTGCAGTGGGGAAGAGATAAAGCAGAATCCTGGGGGCTAAAGTGATAGTACAGAGGGTAGGGCATTTGCCTTGCACACGGCCTGACCCAGGTTCGATTCCCAGCGTCCTATATGGTCCCCTGAGCATAAAGTAAAGTAAAGTAAAGGCCCTCCCGTTGATCATCGATTTGCTCGAGCGGGCCCAGTGACGTCTCCATTTGGAGACTTTGTTGTTACTGTGTCTGGCATATCGAATACTCTCGGTAGCTTGCCGGGCTCTCCGAGAGGGGCGGAGGAATCGAACTCGGGTCGGCCATGTTGGCCGCTTGTAAGGCAAACGCTCTACCCGCTGTGCTATCGCTCCAGCCCAGCGTGGCCAGGAGTAATTCCTGAGTGCATGAACCAGGAGTAACCCCTGTGCATCACTGGCTGTGACCCAAAAAGAAAAAAAAAAAGCAGAATCCTGCCAGGGCGTGGTTTCCCTGGCACCTTCAGCATTGTTGCCGCTGAGCTGTCCTCTGTGCCGTGTGTGAGAGCTCGTGGCCACGGAAGCCGCATGCTCACCTGAGCTAAGCAGGACACCGGGCCAGCCGCGAACACACGCTCGTGCCGCCACACAGCTGCAGGGCACGAAGAGCAGGAACTGCAGCAAAGGGATCTGCACAGTGCAGGGAGGGAAGCCGAGGGAGAGGCCAGAGAGCCTGGAGAAAGGAAAGTGTCCTAGAGGAGAAGCTTCCGCTGAAAGAGTCTCAGCGAGGGACAGACAGAAGGTGCTGACCCATCTCTGGGCTGCGGCTACTCTACCTCCGCAGGCTGGAGGGCTGGGCACGACCCTTGATTTTTCCAGGCCTGGAGCGAGGCTGGCACCGAGAGCGAGGTGCCTGCAGGGCTGGGTTCTGGCCGGGTCCCTCCGCCCACCTTGCTAAGAGCTGCCTTTTCTGTGTCTTCACGCCGGGGGAGAGGGAGAGGCAGGGACAAAGCCAGAGACAGAGAGACGGAGACAGTGAGAGATGGAGACAGAGAGAAAGAAAGAAACAGAGATAGGGACAGAGATGAAGATAGACAGATGGAGACAGACAGACATGGAGATGGAGAGAAAAGATGGAGGTAGACGAAGACAGAGAGAGAGAGAGACAGAGACAGAGAGACAGAGACTGAGACAGGAACAGAGATGGGGACAGACAGACGGAGACAGAGATAGAGCAACAATGAGCCAGCCCCCTGGTGCCCTCTTCCATCCCGAGGGCCACTCTCATGTCTGCCAACCCTGCTCCTCCCTAAGCTCCTTCTCCAAGTGCCATCCCCCGAAGTTGCAGGGCTCAGGCCCAGCCCAGACTGGAGGGCGGGTTGAGTGGCCACGGCAGGGCAGGGAGAGGCCCTTCTGAGAGCCTCGCAGGGCCATGGGGATGGATGCAGGGCCAGGCGGTGTGTTGGCGGATGCTGAGACCCGCTGTGAAGCCTCAGCTGGAGTGTAGTGTTGGACTTTCTGGCCCCGGGAAAAGGATGGGACATGGTTACAGAAGAAGGACCACAGTTTCCACATCAGGAGAGAACAAGGCTCCAGACGCAGCTATCCTAGCGACTGGGATGCGGTTCTGTGGCCAGCAAGTGAGAGCCTCCCAGGCAGCCCGCCAGGCTGAGCCTCTGCAGAAAACTGATGATAAATAACACCTCCCGACAGTGCGGGCTGCCCATCTCCCGACAGCAGCTGGGTGGCTGATTTCAAGAGGGCCACATGGTGTATTTCCAGTCACCTTTTCACACCCCCACCCCCACCCCCACTGACACAGAAGCTGCAGCTCAGTGGGCACCAGGCTACCCCAGTCATGCTGGGGTGTAGAAGGGGTGGGGGTATGAGGCACCAGGGATGAAAGCCCAGGCCCCTCCCACTTGAGCTGCCTGGCCAGCTGCCAGCTACTCAAATATTAGAACTTCAGAAGACTAATAAATGGGGCAGAGATAGTGCGTGACACGTCCCACCTGGGTTCCATCCCCCGCACTTCATGTGGTTCTCCCCCCAGCTCCTCCAGCAGCTATCCCTGAATACCAAGCAAGGAGTAAGCCCTGAGCATTGTTGGGTGTGGCCCTGTAGCACTGTCCTCCCGTGGTTCAACAATTTGCTCGAGCAGGCACCAGTAACGTCTCCATTGTGAGACTTGCTTTTACTGTTTTTGGAATATCGAATATGCCACTGGGAGTTTGCCAGGCTCTGCCGAGTGGGCGGAATACTCTCTGTAGCTGGCCGGGCTCTCGGAGAGGGACAGAGGAATCGAACGCCGTCGGCCTCGTGCAAGGCAAACGCCCTACCCGCTGTGCTATCGTGTGACCCTAAAAACCAAAAGCAACAAGACCAGAGACCACACCAGTAATTAGGGAACTGTTCAAAAGAGAGGTGCGGGGTTGGGGGGGGCGGTGATAATCCAAGGTCCAATCCCCTGGCACCCACCAGCTGCGTGGACTGGAGCAAACCAACCAGCGGCTCAAACGGGAGGCGCGGGATGGGGGAGACGGTCCCCTCGCTCTGGCCAGCCTCGCGCCCTGGGAGCGGCCAGCGCGGGGAGGGCGGCGGGCGGTCCTCACTCCCGTGTCCTCTCGCAGGAGCAAGTGGCCGGAGAAGGAGGCCAAGCTCCGGGGCGCCGTGTCGCGGCTGCTGCACTGTGACGTGCTGCGGGAGCAGCCGCTGGGCAGCGCGCAGGTGCGGCCGGCCGACTGCGTGCTGACCCTGCTGGCCCTGGAGAGCGCCTGCCCCGACGTGGCGGCCTACCGTGCAGCCGTGCGCGCACTCGTGGGGCTGCTGCGCCCCGGCGGCCACCTAGTCTGCATGGCGGCGCTGCGCTCCCAGTTCTACAGGGTGGGCCCCAAGAAGTTCTTCGGGCTCTACCTGGAGAAGGAGACGGTGGAGCAGGCCCTGCAGGACGCCGGCTGCCGGGTGCTGCGCTGCGTGCACCGCCCCATCAGCTACTCCGAGGGCTACTCCATCAACGAGGGCGTCTGCTTCGTGGTGGCCCGCAAGGAGCCCTGAACCGCGCGGGGTGCGTCCTCGGCCCCACTCCAGGCCACCCCTGATTCCCAGAGGCAGCCGGAGCCTGGACGCCACCCCTTTGTCGCTAGCAGCCCAGTCCCAGGTCCCAGGTGGAGAGCAGGGGTCTCCCTGCACCCCGGGACCGCGCCCTCGCCTACCGCTTGTGCTTCGTGCTGCAAAAACCAGCGAAATAAACAGCTCCGCCGGTTGGGGTTTCCCCAAAGGCAGAGCCCGAGACAAGACGTCAGAGCGAACATTTCCCTGTGTGGGAGACCCAGGACACCCGGGGTGGGGGGCATGTGGAAAGGATCACCGAACCCTTCTCGTTCCGGCCGTTTCTGTACAGCCAGTGAGGCTGGGGGTGAGGGCGGGGCAGGGGCAAAGACCCCAGGAGCACCCCCGAGGGAGCATCTCCATCCGGGTCCCTGTCCATAGTTGGCAGCAGAACAGCCTGGCTGTGCAGTAGCCAGGGTGACCCTCACCCGCTGGTGGCAGCTGACCACTGAGGCTGAGGGCTGGACAGGAAGGCTGGGGACTTTCCAGACGCAGAGGTAGGAAGGGGGCGTGGAGACACCTGGGCTACTGCCCGGGTGGAACAGGACCCTGGGCACGCAGGGTCCAGAGACCTCTCCAAGGTCTGCATGGTTTCTGGGCCCAACTCCTGTTGCTCTCAAGAGGGGAAACCCAGGCTGAGAGTGGAGGGCCAGGCTCCAGGTGGCTGTCAAATGCCCGGTCAGAAGAGGAGCTTTGGGACGGGAAAGAGCACAGCCCAGAGGGCGTTTGCCTTGTGTGTGGAAGAGCTAGGTTCGAAGAGCCAGGTTCGATCCCCAGCATCTCATATGGTCCCCCCAGCAAGGCCAGGAGTAATTTCTGCGTGCAGAGCCAGGAATAACTCCTGAGCATCATCCTGTGTGGACAAATACACACACACACAATTTGGAGCTGGGGCCATGTTACAACCACCACCTCTTACCCCCCCCCCCCCCCCACCTCCACCATCCCCCACAACCACCACCGCTCAGCATTTTCTCCCAGGGACCTGGGCCATGCGGGATGGCAATGGCTTCTCATGGGCACCAGAGGGCAGTGCAGAGCAGATAGCGGCTCTGGGCTCAGCGTGAGTCCAGCTGGGAGTCCTCTGCCCTGAGGCCAGTTTGAACCCCCTTTTGTTTGTGGGGGTTCTGCCAGGCCTCAGCCAGTACAGAAGTCATGAAGCAGAGACAGAGACTCCTGGCAATCCTCAGACGGGCCCAGTTCTAAGAAGCCAGAGCCCGCTCGTTCCTTTAAGTCCAATTTGGCATTTCAGCTAGGCTGGGGAACAAGCTTGTCCTCAGCCCAAGTGATAGCGCAGCGGGCAGGGCGCTTGCTTTGCACGGCCTACCCGAGTTTGATCCCCAGCACCCTATTTGGCCAGAAGTAAGCCCGGAGCACTGCCAGGTGTGGCCTAAAACACAAACTCAGGATGCCTGGGGTACCCAGGAGCTTCTGAGAACAGGAATGAGGTCCGGCAGCGCCCATGCTCAGCCTGCCCCGCTGCCATTCACTGGAGCAGTGAGGAGGTAAAGGGGACAGGCGCATCCTAGCTTCCCCCGAAACCGCAGGGCTCTGGGACTTCCTCCTCCTTCCTGCCCAGGCACTGGGGCTACCGCCCTTACCTGGACACCCCAGGCCAGGTGGAGCCACGCTCAGCAGCTCGGGGCCTGGTGAGCAGAGTGGCCCTGCTGAGCCCGCTGTGGACATCCAGCATGAAGTTTCTTCTGGCCACTCTTGGACAGCAGGAAGCAGGTCCAGTCCCTGCATCCCCCCTCCCTGGAGATAGGGAAGGTTTGTTGCACATTTTCTTAAAATTTTATTTATTCATCTTTTTTTACTTTGAATAAAACTTTTTTTTTTTTTGCTTTTTTGGGTCACACCTGGCGATGCACAGGGGTTACTCCTGGCTCTGCACTCAGGAATTACCCCTGGTGGTGCTCGGGGGACCATATGGGATGCTGGGAATCGAACCCGGGTTGACTGTGTGCAAGGCAAACGCCCTATCCACTGTGCCCTTGAATGAAACTTTAAACACCATGCTCTATCAAGCTGTTCACAATACAGTTGTTTCAGGTATTCAGTCTTCCAATACCAGCCCCACCACCAAAGTTCCTAGTGTCCCACCTACCTCCAAGCCTGCTCCCTTAGCAGGCATTAATTAATTTACTTTCTATTTCTTGTTACAACATATATCTCCTAATGGTGTTGCTAAAGTCATAGCCTGAGGATTACTGAGCTGTTAGGTGAAAGCGGGGCCTTCTGTGTTACTGTTTCACTCACTGAGCTTCTGGGCTTCTACTCAACATTCCCACCTAATGTTCTTGTTTCTCTGGGGTTGTCAGCTCTGTTTGGAGATGTTGCAGAGCCGTATGTGCAGCTGTTCACTTCAGGGGCTTTGGAGCTGGGAGCTTCAGGGGTCTCACTGGCCTCTGAGGTCAGTCCTGAAGCTGGGCGTTTATCTGGCAACAGTGGAAGCCGGCTGGAGGTGGGTGGAGCGCTGAGTCTTAGGCTGGAGGTGGGGGGACACACATCTGCTCCCATCCTGCCCAGTGGTGGCCAGACCTTCCCGGGATAACTCAACTGCCGGCATCTCTCTGAGATCTTGCTGTAAGTTTTGAAACTTGAGGCTCAGGTTGAGGCCAACCTGAGTCAACCTTGAGTCAACTTGAGGTCCCAGGACTTACTCCCACCCCAGCACTGTGAGGCTCTGGGGACAGGTGAGGCCCGGGGTTCCCCCAAATCCGGCTGTGGGAACTGCTACAATGCACTTCCAAAACCTTCTTCAGCTGAGCAGCAGCTGGGGGTGTGGCTGTGTGAGGCTCAGGTTGGGCAGTTCAAGGAGGGCTGAAACCCTGCCCTGCTGACCCTCTCTTCAGTATTCGTGCGGCTGACTGAAGAAATGCCCCAGCAAGCAGGGAAACTGCAGGGTTGCCCAGCCCAAGAGCGAGGGTCTCCGTGTACTCACCAGCCCCAAATCTGAGCCCACGCACCGTTCCTTATTGCCTCCTGGCTGGCCCCATCAGTCAGCTTTCCCATCAGCTAGAGCAAGCAAGCACAATCTCAGCGCACAAGCCAGATGTTATGCGGTTAGCTCGGAGCAGTTAATTGGGGGTATGTTTTCCTTTTCCTGGCAGCTGGAGAGAGCAGGATATCTATGCAGGATGTTTCCAGGGCACCCCGTCCTTGGGGTGCCCCCCCCTGCTCCCCGCTCTCTTTGAGCAGCTACCTGCTTCTCTGCTGTGCCCGGCATTTGGGCCTTTCTCATTGCCCCACCCCCTAGCTCAGTGCTGACCCAGCCCGCGTTCCCAGAGAACCTCTGCACCAGGCCGATGCCATGGAACTCTCCTGGGCTCAGAGTTCTCAGACTGGCTTCCACTGGAACGGCAGATACTTGGATGTTGCGTGAATATTTTTTTCGGTTGGAGGCGCAGAGACAAGACACGTGAGAGGAATATAGAGAACACGAAGGGCCAAGGCATCGATCTGGCTCGAGGCGCAGAGCAACTGCCAGAGGCCTCCTTTTATTCTATTTTTTTTTTTATCAGTTACATCCTAATCACTTCATCACAAGAGAAAGAGTCACTAGCGAGAGGACAGTTGCTGGATAAACATTCATCAAAAGAAAATCATAGTATACATTGTCTTGCCAAAACTATGTTGTCAAAGCTATGTTGCAATGATTGAAAATGTCAGAGGAAGATATGGAACTGGACACGTAAGCTCTACAGATTATGTCCCCCATATTCTTGTGGTTGATTACACATAGAGCAAAGAGAAGACTCATACTGATTCCTAAAGGTCAAACCAGATTAAGGATGTGTAAGAGAGGGGGAAACTGCTTCGTTGTACTGCCAAGATAAGGTATGACCTTATGAGAATGTATGAGAGCATGCTGCACTTCTCCAGATCATCAGACTCACAAGTTTAGGTTGCCCACTAAACTCAAAGTGGGGGCTCGGTTCTGCTTCCTGCTTGCAGGGCAGCGTCCAGAGGCTCGTCCTAATGTCCTGGCTTAGCACCTACACTTGTCTTCTCACAAGAAAGAATTCAAGGGCAAAACAGCACAGATCAAAGCCAGAAGATGGGGCCAGAGTGACAATACGACAGGTAGGGCACTTGCTTTGCTCACGTGTCTGACTGGGCTTCTATCCCCTGCAACACATATGGTCCCTCAAGCACTGCCAGGGGTGATCGTGAGCTAAGAGCCAGGATTAAGCCCTGAGAATTGCTGGGTGTAGACCCCAAAACAAAACCAAAACCAAAAGAAGCAAAAGGCTTTAGGGCCCAGAGAGACAGTACTGCAGGGAGGAAACTTACTTTGCACGTGACTGAGCCAGGTTTGAATCCCTGCCATCCTGTATGGTCCCCAGAATCAGGAGTGATCCCTGAGCACAGAGTCAGGGGTTACCCCAGACATCACTGCGTGTGGCAAAAATAATAATAATAAAAGCAGGGGCTGGAGCCATAGCACAGCGGTAGGGCGTTTGCCTTGCACGCAGCAAGCCGAGCCGAGCCAGGTTCGATTCCTCCGCCCCTCTCGGAGAGCCTGGCAAGCTACGGAGAGTATCTCGCCCGCACAGCAAAGCCTGGCAAGCTACCTGTGATGTATTCGATATGCCAAACACAGTAACAAGTCTCACAATGTTACTGGGCCCGCTCGAGCAAATCAGTGAACAACAGGAGAACAGTGACAGTGACAATAAAAGCAGAGGATTTGTTCAAGAGACAGCGCACAGCTGAAACGTGACACATTGCTCTCTCCAGGGGAGTCACACCCAGGGCGGGGAGGGTTTTAAGGGTCTTAAAACACGAGTCACCCAACGGAGCAACGGGCATGAAGGGCTGTGGAGAGTCCGAGCTGCGGACTAAGCCGACTAAGGTGCTAAGCCGTGCCAGGATGTGCGCAAACACCCCGTGAGTCAGCAGCTTCCAGTCACGCAGCGGGCAGCTGGGAGCAACCTGGGCTCTCCCACTGAAGACACGGGTGAGACAGGCTCAGGCTTCTGCCTCTAGGCATGCACCAAACTGGCTGAAGCTGCTTTCCCCAGTCCTCTCTCTCTCTCTCTCTCTCCCTCCTACCCTCCTTCTCTATCTGCTCCCTGCTTCCCTCTCTCGCTTCCTCTCTCTTTCCTTTTCTCTTCCTGTCTCCCTCCCTGTCTCCCTCCCTCCCTCCCTCCCACCCTCTCTCCCTCCCTCCCTCTCTCTTCCC